GATTTACTGCAGTTGGGCCTGGATGGTAAGGGGCTGCAAGTGGGTGAGTGTCAGCTCTGCTAATACAGGTGCTTGATTCACTCAGCACAGGAGCTCAGGCTGAGAAGGCATGGGAAATATTCACTCATTCATTCTTTCATTTATCTGTGCATTCAACGAATATTTACTGAGTACAGAACTTGCACTGAGAATGCAGCCGTGGAGATTGGAGCAGAGGTAGGTGTTAATTAGCAATGGCACAGGGGTGACTTGCACCCTGCAGTGATCAATACTATGACAAAGATGAACACAGCATTACAGGAGGGCTCCAGCTCTGTGGCTGGGTAGGGTGTCAGTACCCTGAGCCAACGGTCAGGAGTTCAAGGCCAGGCTGTAAGTACAATGTCCTCTGTGCCAGTGGTTCATTTGGATCAGATGAGACAAGAGCTTTTTGGAGGTTCAAACCCTGCTTGTCCCTTGAGGAACAAACCATCTAATTGTAGAGACAGACTCTGTGCCCTTGCTAAGAAAGAGTGTGGTGTGTTGAGTGAGAACTAGATTTAGAACCAGAAGTGCTGTCTGGTCCAGGCATTCCTTATTCCTATAGCGTGGCTCTGAGCAAGCTGCTTAAGTTTTAAGAGATTTGAAGCCTCAGTTTACTCATTTGTAAATGGAAGAAACATTTACTGCTCTGTCTGCTTTATAGGATTCATGACTGAAGATGTGAAAGGGTTTGGTAAAAGCAGTGGATCTTGATGAGAGGACAGACCACACACACGCCCTGAGCTTAATGAGCCCAGGATGTTTAAGGCCAGGTTCAGAGCTGGGTGCTCATGCAGCCCTGAAAGGGCTGGGTCTGGAGAGAGTGCCATGAGCGGTCTTCAGAGGGATGAGTGTGGCATGGGGAAGAAGGAAGTGGCCTGACACAGACATTCCACGTGGGGGGCATGTGTGAAGGTCAGTCAGTCAGGAGGAGTCCCGACGGGAATGCCAGAGAGACGTTCGGCAGGAGTCAAGAGCCTCAGTGGTGAGTATTGAGTCGTGAGGGGAGCTGTATAGGTTGGAAGGAACTAGCTGGTGAGGAATCTTGAAGCACACAATCATCTCCTTACTTTATTTATGGTCCCAGTTTAATTAAATCTCATTTAAAACATTAAGATAAATCATTTTTGTGATTTAAATAAATCATAGATTTTTTTTTCTCAGAGATTTAATTCTTTTTTTTTTTTTTTTTTTAGAGATTTAATTCTATCACAAAGAAGAGAGTCTGACTTTTCTACATGTAAGATGTAAAGAGATCAGATGGGGTTGGGAATATGGGCCACTCTTTTAAGAAAAGCAAAGACAGAATCCCTACCTTAAACTGTATAAAAGATGAATTTTAGATGGATTGAAGTCTTAGATGGGAATGGTAAAATGATAAAACTATAAAAGATCTACAGAAGGAAAGGTGAGAGAATATATTTGTGGCCTTGGGGTGGAGAAAGACTCTTAAAGAAGGATCCAGAAGTGCAAACATATTAGTGATGGATTTGGCTACATCAATGTTAAATTTCTGTGTTCAACAAAGGATGCATTAGATAAAGATTTAAGAAGGGCAACAGGTGAAGGGAAAATGTTTACAGTGCTTTAAACTAATGGAAGTCAATAGGACAAGCAAGGAACTCCTGTAGACCAGAAAGAAAAAGATGGGAAATCCAGTGGAAAAATGATCAAAGCCTATGCGGGAGCAAGTCCCAGAGGGGAAAATTTTTAGATTAATAAGTACACAAAAAGTAAAATTACAAAATCTATTTATATTCACAAAATTTGCAAACACTAGAATATCAGATCATAAATACTGGTAAAGATGTGAGTAAATAGGCACCCACAAGCATTGCAAATACACATTTCAGATAGCAAATTTCAGGAACAGAGAAAATGTGGTATAATACAATGGGATATTATTTAAACTTAAAAAGGGAGTAATGAAATTCTGACACCTGTTACACCATGGGTGAATTCAAAGACTATATGCTAAGTGAAATAAGGCAGACACCAAAGGACAAATGTTGTTTAATTCCAGTTGTATGAGGTACTTAGAGCAGTCAAATTCATAGAGACTGAAAGTACAGTTTGTGGTTGCTGGACCTGGTAGCAGGGGGGAATACAGTTAGTGTTTAATGGGAGTTTCAGGTGGGGAAGATGAAAGAATTCTGGAGATGGATGGTGGTGATGGCTGCACAACAAATGTGAATGTACTTAATGCCATTGAACTGTACACATAAAACTGGTTAAAATGGTAACTTTTATGTTATGTATATTTTACCACAATAAAAAATATTTTTAGGATGTTAGAGTCCCTTGGACTGCAAGGTGATCCAACCAGTCCATTCTAAAGGAAATCAGTTCTGAGTGTTCATTGGAAGGACTGATATTGAAGCTGAAACTCCAGTACTTTGGCCACCTGATTCAAAGAACTGACTCATTTGAAAAGACCCTGATGCTGGGAAAAATTGAAGGCGGGAGGAGAAGGAGACGACAAGAGGATGAGGTGGTTGTATGACATCACCGACTCAATGTGGACATGACTTTGAGTAAACTCTAGGAGTTGGTGATGGACAGGGAGGCCTGGCATGCTGCAGACCATGGGGTTGCAAAGAGTCAGACATGACTGAGTGACTGAGCTGAACTGAACTGAAGACACTTGTCTGGAATTTTCAGATCATATGATGCAATGTGAAGGCTCTTCCTAACATGCTATGCTTAGGAGCCACTACCACACTTTCCCATGGCATGCTGTCTCTGTGACTCCCTCTGAGGTCTCCTCACATACCTAGGGAAAATTTTGCAGGTCACTATGTATAGATGTGAGAGCAGGACCATAAAGAAGGCTGAGCACTAAAGAACTGATGCTATTGAACTGTGGTGCTGGAGAAGACTCTTAAGAGCCCCCTAGACTTCAAGGAGATCAAACAAGTCAATCCTAAAGGAAATCAGTCCTGAATATTCGATGGAAGGACTGATGCTGAAGCTGAAGCTCCAGTACTTTGGCCACTTGATGTGAAGAGCCCACTCGTTGGAAAAGACCCTCAGGCAGGGAAAGATTGAAGGTAAAAGAAGAGGATCAGCGGATGAGATGGTTAGATAGTGTTACTGACTCAAAGGACATGAATTTGAGCAAACTCTGGGAGATAGTGAAGGACAGGGGAGCCTGGCGTGCTACAGTCCATGGGGTCGCAGAGTTGGAGATGACTTAGCAACTGAACAATAACAAAGACTCACTTAGGCTTTGTCCGTCCATAGTAGTGAGCCTCAGTCCCAGCTATCCTTTGGGAGCTTTAAAATGCTGATGCATGGGCCCCAGTCTTCCAGCATGTAATTCAGTTGGTGTGGCCATGGGGCCTCATCTCTGCATTTAGTAAGAGATAGGTTATTTAAGTTATTCGAGTGTGTAGGCAGAGTTGGGAACCATACATAAAGAACTCTGTTTTGATAAAGCAGTAGGATGTTTTCTGAATATTATAGATGAGTAACTCAGACTCATTTGCAAAGACCCTGATGCTGGGAAAGACTGAAGCAGGAGGAGAAGGGGACAAGAGAGGATGAGATGATTGGATGGCATCACCAACTTGATTGACGTGAGTTTGAGCACGCTCCAGGAGTTGGTGATGGACAGGGAAGCCTGGCGTGGTGCAGTCCATGGGGCCGCAAGGAGTCGGACAGGACTGGGCAACTGACCTGAACTGAACTGAACTCAGACTGTGGGCTTCCCAGCTGGCTCAGTGGTAAAGAATTCATCTGCCAATCAGGAGATGCGGGTTCAAACCCTGGGTCAGGAAGATCCTCTGGAGAAGGAAATGGAAACCCACCCCAGTATTCTTGCCTAGGAAATTCCATGGACAGAGGAGCCTGGAGTGCTACAGTCCATGCCGTTACAAAGGTTTGGACATGACTTAGCTACTAAACTACCACCACGAACTCAAAGACCATGTCAGGTAGCATATATCAGAGGTCTGGGGCAGAGTGGCTTTGGGGAGGAAGAGTCCCCAAAGACTCTAGAGTCCCCTAGACTCTTCCTAGGAAGAGTCCTGCAGGAGTGGATGGATCTGGAAGTGGGGTGGCTATTTGCACCCCATTAAGAGGCAATAAATGAGCAAATCACACTGCTTGATTTGGAGGAAGGAAAACAAAAACCAAACAAAGTTGGGATTAAGTAATAAAACATGAGACAAAGGGACACAGAATTCTGAGGTGAAGGGCTAGGTTTCCTCTTACTTCTGAATAAAATGTTATCAATGGAGAATATTCACTTCTATGGAGAACCTTTGGGATTTCCATCCCAGGCAATTCAGTGATAAGAAAAGTAAGCCAAGACTCTCTAAGGAGAAATCTATCTATATCCTCAACAATTCCCTATCAAAATAGCCCATGCCCCAATCTAAAGACAAGTTTTCATTCAGAACAGTATTTCGACCCACAAAACCATTTGACCAAAGGTCAATTTATTTAATTTAGTGACCTGTGCATGCTAAGCTGTGTCAGTCGTGTCCAACTCTTTCGTGACCCCAGGGATTGTACCTCGCCAGGCTCCTCTGTCCATGGGATTTTCCAGGCAAGAATACTGAAATGGGTTGCCATGCCGTTCTCCAGGAGATCTTCCCAACCCAGGGAGCAAACCCTCATCTCTTATGTCACTTGCCTTGGCAGACGGGTTCTTTACCACTATTGCCACCTGGGAAGCCCTTAGTGACCTGAGTCAAACAGTTTTTTTGAGGGATTAATGATAATAATTTAAAAAGAAAACAGAGAACTAGCATAAAATTAGATTCTTTGGCTTTGTCATCCTAATTTTTTTTATGAAACAAAGTGAGAGAACTGATCAACTGATCAATCTGCTTCCCTTTCCCCCAAAATTATTTACTCCAAATCGTCTCATGAGATCTATAGGGAAACGGCTGTCCTGTGACAGAGATCAGGTAAACCATCAAAACTCATCAGAATATATAATTTTTAAAATTCAAGGAATGAGAAAGAGGTTCTGGAGGGAACAGGAGTGTTTATTTTGTGGAAATAGTTTTGCAGTGCTAAGAGGTTGCTCAAGGCTCTAGAGGTCTCGGTGCATGGGAAGATTTTCATTATCTACAGGCCACTGCCCTGACAATCTCATTGTCCGAAACAGTTGAGAACTGAGGATAATAATAACATCAGTAACACAAGCTAACCTACATTCCGTGCTTGCTGTGGTCTCTCTTTGGGTACTCTTTCATGACCTTGGCATGTATCAAGATTTCTAATCCTCAGGATGATCCTTTGAGATGGTTTTTCCCACCCTCATTCTAAGGATGAGGAACCTGGGATGGTAAGCCGTTCAATAATTCACCCAAGGTCATAGTACATTGCTGTCTTAGACTCAAAGTAATCTTGTTCGGAGTCTGAGATGTTTTCATGTTCCCCACGTTTATCCTGGAAGAAGAAAAGGAGGGTAGAAACAAATAGTGTTTATTAAGTGTCAGCTACTTCACACATGATTGTTTCATGTAACACTCACAACACCTCCTTAGCCTCATGTAAAAGGCATGGAAAAGAGGAAGCACAGACTTAGAGCATAATGACTAGTTAGTAAGAGGTGAAGCTAGGATTCCACCTGTGCTTTTTTCACTAAACCATGAAATTTCCACATATCATCCATGCACAAAAGCACACTGAAGCGAGGAAGTCTCTTACTTAGATCTTCATCTTTACCTTTATATAGTTTTAGCAAGTTGGTTGCCTGATTTCCTTGCTCAGTGCCAGGAAGTATATAGGGGGTTGGAGGGAGAAGGTGGGTAGGCGGATTGCAGGGGAAATAGAGCTGATGAAGAAATAAATGTCCAAGAGAACAGGATTATTAATAAGCAGTGTCTTAGCTATACATCTTTGATTTGTTTGAATAGACATTTTGCATTAAGAGTTATATGCTTTCCTTAAAGGAGTCAAAGGAAAGAGACTGGGTGAGTTCATTAGGTAAATTTTGTAAACTTTCAAAAATAGCATAAAGAAAATCCTTACTTACATTTAGAACACAAAATCAGGTGCAACCAAGAACTCTTTTACAAGGCAATTTTGACTCGAAAGAGACTCACAGAGTCAGAGAACAAACTTAGGGTTCCCAGGGGGAATGATAGGGAGTTTGGGATGGACGTGTACACACTGCTATATTTAAAATGGATAACTAGTAAGGTCCTACTGTATAGCACAGGGAACTCTGGTTAATGTTATGTGGCAGCCTGGATGGAAGGGAAGTTTGGGGGAGAATGGATACACGTATATGGATGGCTGAGTCCCTTCACTGTTCACCTGACACTATCACAACATTATTAATTTACAAAATAAATTACAAAATGCAAAATAAAATACAAAATAATAAGCTTAAAAAAAGCAATTTTGACTCTGAAGAATACTTTGCCATTTACTCTAAACAATGTAACATCTACAAAATTATGATATGTATTATGTATTATGATATGTATTATGTATTATGTACATACAAATATGTATTATGATACATATTAAATATGTATCAGAAGGCATGGGGAGCGTGGATACAGTTGTGGGATGTGGTGCGGGGCCTGTGCCTAGGCATGCCTTCCTTCCCCACTGCCCTGTGCTCCTCTTCAGGGCCAGGAAGCTTATTCTGGGATCTTCTGAGAAGTCAGCCCTATTCCCTCTGCCCCACCCATCTCCGCCCTACAGTTCTCACACTCTGAGAGCCTCTGAATTCTCGTTAAAACACAGATTGTTGGGCTCCTCCCCTGGAATTTCTGATTCAACAGTCTGGGTCTGAGCAGACTTGTGTTTCCAACAAGTTTCCAGCTAATGCGAGTGCTGTGGTTCAGTGATCGCACTTTGAGGACCACGGCTCCAGAGAGAGTTGCTCTCTCCTTGGCTGCCCTGGTCTGCTTAGGTGTTTTATTTCTTCCTTTGCCAAGCAATTTCTTTGTCTTCTCAGGAGTTTGAAAGCTTCTTGAAGGAAGCAGCTGGTTTTCTGACCTGGGAGGAGAACGGTATAGCAGGATGCTGAGGGGATCCTGGGAGAGGGTGTCTGCTGAGCAGAAATGGCCCAGGGCTGGGGAGTCTATGCAGTAGGATGCTTTAGTCACAGGTCTCTGGAGCCTGAATACCAACTCCAGACCTTGTTGAGGTCTCAAATACCCAGTGGAAAGTTAGACACTGTAAGTACTCAGAAAGAGCTAGCTTTTTCCAAAAAGGCAGGAACAGCACTCTCTGGGACCCCTGTCACGGAGCATAATTCAGGAAGAGGTGTTTTCTCCACTCACCCACAAGCCACTTTTTTGGTGCCTCAAGGAATCCAGTCCATCACTAGCAACGCCTGAGTGAGATGAGAGTGCCCAGCAGAGCAGGGCATTGCCCAGGGTCACACTGTCCCATATGGTAGCCGTTAGTTACACGAGACTATGTAAATATAAATGCAAATTAATTAGAATGAAAGAAAATAGAAAATTCAGTTCATTGCCACACTAGCCACATTTCAAGGGCTCAAGAGCCACAGATGGATGGCTAAAAGGCCATCCTGTTGGACAGCACAGATATAGAACGTGTCCAGTGCTGCAGAAGGTCCTATTGGCTAGCCCTGCTGTAAGGGTTCTGGGAGGGATGGCACCCGGGACAGGGCAGTGCAGTCATCTTGTGCCCCTCCTGCTATGTGCTCCTGCTGCCCAGGAGCTACAAAGACAGGCGCCCAAGAACAGATGCTCCCCTCCACCTCCCCACTTTCCTCCACTTCTTGGATCAGGGATTCACTGCTGAGCGTGGCAGTGGCACCTGTGGGACAGAGGGGAAGTCCCAGAGCAGACAGAGTCAGTCCCTGGGACTCCCAGCAGGACTTCCATGGGCGGAGGTGTCCTGACTTTCTCGGATTAAGTTGGGCCACCCTCCTTCGGTTCCCTTCTGCAGGAGGAGCTTTCTCTCCACACACTCATAAACTGGGTGTGTGCCTTCTCTTGTCAACTTTTAAAAACAGCCCACTCTGAGTTAGAGTCCAGGAATTGAAAAGGATGGCAAATGGAACAGTGGAATTGGGTGATCCCAGCCAATGAAACCTTCTCCAAGACTCGGTGTCTGTTCCCAATAAGGTTTCCCAACACTCCCTGGAGACCTAGCCATGGTCTGATAAATCTCCATAGACAAGTCACCTGATCACAGGTACCTGATCACATCTTATTCCTCCCTAACTCATCATAAAAGGAGAAAACAGAATCTAATTTCCTCTGGGCTGGCTAAAGGCTGAGGTAGATGGGAGGGAAAAGACCCCAGGTGGCCTTTCAGGTGTGCGTGGACTTAAATTGTAGCAGATGGGCCCTGGTCTGTCTTTTCCATGATCCTTTTCAAGTCCTCATTCCTCAGAACTGCAAGAGTCTTAGCCAATGGCTGGGTGACAAAACAAGGACCCACCATATATGGAGCACAGTGAAGGAGAGAGGAAAACAGTCTAAGGACAGCTATCTCAGCCAGACAATTGCAGATGGTCCAGTTTCAGGGCAAACTGTACCCGCAGCTGGAGTTTAGAAATGTCTAGAATGTGTGGCAATGGGCAATCAGAAGTCCGTTCATGCTGGGGTCTCAGCAGCCCCCTAAGAGGTTTATCATAAGAGAACAGGAGTTAGGGCATTGCAAGCTTGGTCTGGTAGGTACAGATTCTAAGACGAGGGCAGGGAATCCCACACACAACATGGTATCTGTCACTCAGATTTGTCTCCAGCCCAGCGTGGGGAGGTTGGCACAAGCTGCCTACTCCAGATATACCCTGGAACAGCTGTCTGACTCCAGATGGACATGCAGGGCCCACAGCACTGCAGGGGGTGACAAAGCAGAGTGGTGATCAGAGGTGTTCTTTCACATTTTCCAACAGAACCTCACAGCTTTGGCACTTGAAATCTGGGTCATCAAAGATGGTACGGAAACAGGATCAGAGGCAGGGGAGACTTGGTGGGACCCAACAAAGACCTCAGTGAACTAGAGAACTCAACTAGTCCTGGGGACATGGAAATACCTACAGAATGGAGATGGATGGGTATAGTAAGAGACCACAAGAATGAGCTGTCTTCCCTTTTCCAGAAACTTCTGTCCAGAAGGGATGGAGTGAGGTGGAGCCAAGGAGGCCTCCACACCTGAGCAGTGCCCAGAGTAAAAGGGCAGAGTTAACCAGAGTAAGGAGGAGGCTCTCACAGGGGGTGGGAGCCCTGGTGAGGCTGGGGCCCATGGGAGTGAGGAAGCTGTCCATGTGGGAGGGTGGCGCCATATGCAGGAGAGACCGCGTGTGCCATTTCCTCCTCCAGGGAATCTTCCCGACCCAGAGATCAAACCCGAGTCTCTTATGTCTCCTGCATGAATGAGCAGGTGGGTTCTTTACCACTAGCGCCACCTGGGAAGCCCTGCAGACCGTCAGACCCCAGGTGGGTGAGGAGGAGTCTATGCAGGGGGCACCGCAGCAGGAGGTGTTGGTGCTCATGTGGGATGGGGTGGGGGTCCTTGTGAGAGGCTGGTCCAGGGCAGGATGCTGGGATGCCCACTGAGGAAGGTGTCTGCACAGTGCCCGTGAGGGTGGCTGTGGGCCTTGCTCTTCTTTGTGTCCTGGGCAGTGGAAAGGATTAGCAAAGGCTCAGGAAACAGCAGTTGTTGAATGGGTGGTGAAGTAATAGAAAAGACCCAGGACCAAGTCCCACTTTTATCATTTATTGGCCAAGAAACACTGGACAAATATGTTCCTCTCTGACAAGGGAACACTGTCCATGATGCCACTAAGACGCTGTACACATCTGAAGGATCTGATCTCGTTTTGCCTACTGGGAAAGGGGGCCAGTACCTTCTCTGATGGGCAGCACTTCCTCATCTTCCCTCGCTTCCCTTGGCAACCCTCCCGGGCAGTCTGCTTGCACAGATCAGGCCTCTGATGCCTGTTCTGCAAAGTGACAAGTGCATGGGGAGAACTTTCCAAAGTTAGCTGGGATCAGTGGACGCAGAGCCTCAGCAGACATATAGCAACGTGCCTCCAGGGAGGGAGCAAGCCTGCGGCCCTGGTGAGCCTGCTTCCTCAAGCCCTGTCAGCTTATATGGCCGTGATGGTCTCTGCAGATCTTTGCTGGCAAGTGCCCTACTCTCTCACAACATACGCAGCACTTTCACAGCAAAATAGGGCCTCACTGTGGTCAGGGATGAGGACATCTCCGGGTTCTAACAGACCTTGGCTCTACCAGGAGCTTGCATCTCAGGGAGGGCCCTGGTTACCAGACCCCAGGCCAGCAGTGTCCCTGGCTTGGGCAGTTGAGGATGTTGTGTGTTTGTGTTCTGAGGTCTCCACCCTCAGATTCTTCCACCTGACTCTGTGTCCAGTGAGCACAAACTTTTTGACAAGCAGCCTGTGACCTGAAGGGTATCTAGAAGAGTCTTACCAGATTCTGACCCCTCGTTCCATATACACACAGGCTCTGGCAGAGCCTGTTAAAACATATACAAGACAATTTTACTAAATATTTTTAAGTTATTCTAAAGTGAATTACTTAGAGCTTTTGTAAAAGTGTTTTTTCAGTTTGTTTTTAATGAATGTCATTATCTTTACAGCCTTAAATCAGGCTTTTCTCCCCATCCGTGGGGGTTCTTACACACTCCAGGAAGCATTTTTAAGGTGAAGTTGCCCCAAGCTATATGTCCATTCTGATCTTCTCTCCTGAATTGCAGATCCAGATAATGAAACCACCTCCTGCATCTGATTGTGAGCATGTCTTTCAGGCCCCTCGCCTCCACAGACTGAATTCTGACCCCTTTGCTCCCTCCTCGCAACACCACCCCCAGCTGCTCCTCTGACAGCAGCTGCTCCACATCTCAGGGAACACCAGCGCGGCCCGGTGCTCCCCCCTCTTTCCCTCACTCCCACAGCAGTCAGTCCTGAAACCGCGCTGCTGCATCCCCTTCCTAAGTAGTTCCGAGTCTGCCCATGGCTCTTGTCTTCACTGCCAATCCCACCCAGGTTCCAGGCAGCTTCAGCTCTTACCTGTGACACGGTAAACTCCTTCCCTGGCTCCAGCCTGGCCACACCACCCCCTCCTTCCTCCTCCAAACAACACCGAACCTCTCGAAATTCGACCCTAACATATCACTTCTCTGTTGAAAGCTTTAACTGTTCACTATTGCCCTTAAGATAAAAAGTCCCAAATCCTTAGCACAGTTCATCAGCAGCCCCCTCCTGCAGCCTCAGCCCCTGGGGTGATGCCCTCATCCAGATGAGCCAGGGAGGTCCTGTTCTCCGTTTCTGGCAAACAGGGCTAGTTCACGGCTCTAATTCTTCTCCTCCTTCCCCAGCTTCCCTCTTAATTCCCTGCCCCCACTGTCACCCTTTCCAAATTTCTGTCATTTAATGCTGTCTGTCACCTTGGGGACTTCACACTTGCGGCCCCACTGCCTCCTACTGAGAACACTCCGCCCCATCTCCTTTGTCTTCTAATTTTTAACTACCCGCCCCCCACCCCGCCTTGCTGTGCTGGGAAGGTGCAGCAGGTCAGAGGGCTAGCTTGCTGCCTGTGGGGCACTTTCCAATTCGCTCTGTGACACTGAAGCACATTATCGCTTTTGCTTGGTATCTGGATGCCCCCCTCCATGACCTAAGTGCTACAGACAGGGGCTGTATCGCCTTTGCCCCCTGTTCTCCCTGCCACGTCTGGCACAACAGGTTTTTAGATCAATCATGATTCATTCAGGCAAAGCCTACACACCAACCATATGTGTGTCTGCTATTTTGGCTCTTAAACAAGCACTGTCAGAAAGAAAAAACACTTGGTTTATAAAAACAGGATAAAGTGTTGGGTATCACTCACAATTAAATGCATGCAAATTAAAGTACAAGGAGATTAATTTCTTACTTACTAGATTCATAAAGATCACCAAGTGTTGAGAACTGGGAACCCCAGCAGGCACTCTCCTCCCCAGGGACACATCTGCAAGAATCCTTCAAGTGTATCTTGGCAATCTCTGCTCAAAGTTTAACCACACTTTTTTTGGTCACTCCCAGAAATGTGAAATTTCTTACATCTGCGTACAAAGGACACACAAGAATATTCAACAGTTCATTGTAATCAGTGAAGAAAAAAAAAAAAAGAAAAAATCCACTACCTGTCCATAAAAAGGAGACTAATTAAATAATTCCTTCTGGAATATCATGTAGGAATTTTTTTTTTAATGAGTTAGATTTACACATGCTCATGTGAAACAATTCTCGAACCAGAAAGTGTGTTTTAAGTTGTGATTTTAAAACGAAATATACATGTGTTCATATGCATAAAATATTTTGGGACAGATACACAAGAAACTCTTAACAGTAATTACCTCTGGGGAGAGAAACTGAGACCTGGGATAGAACAGAACTTATTCACTGTATATTCTAAGTGTTGGAATATTTTAGGCATGAATTAGCTTTGCAATTATACAAAAAGAATACTCTAGGTTTGTTTATGGTGGCTCAGACAGTAAAGAATCTGCTTGCAAAGCAGGAGACCCACAATCCCTGGGTCAGGAGGATCCCCTGGAGAAAAGAATGGCTATCCACTTCAGTATTCTTGTCTAGAGAATTCCGTGGACAGAGGAGCCTGGAGGGCTGCACTCCATGGGGTCACAAAGAGTTGGACGTGACTGAGCAACCTGACACCACTTAACTTACGACTACTACTGAATTTGCATCTCCCTGAGATTCTAGCAATTTTCCTTCCCTCCCTCCTTCCTCCTTCCTTCCTCCCTTCTTTCTTTTCTTTCATTTTCTCCTCCTTTCTAAGAAAATTGTCTTTCTAGAATCTTCTAAAACTATTAAACAGAAAACTACCCTGTTCCCCATTCGTGGGTTGGGAGTCCAATTGTGACGGGGTGAGTCCATCATCACTTGCCGCTAATAAGCGTCGACTTTTCTAACTTGCTGAGTGCCTTCATCTTGTCAGCCCTCTTGCTACTTCAGCCAGGACTTGCCTCCACCCCCCACCCTGCTGCAACGGCTCCCAGCACCTCCTTTCTCTCCCTTCTTGCCCCTAGGCTCCTCTGCCACCATCATGCAGAGTGCCTGAGGAAATCAATCTGGAAATAGAAGGGGAAAGGGGGGTTACGACCCATGAGGTGACCTGTGCTCAGTGAGAGCCAGTGGTCGACAAATGCTCCCTTCACAGTTCTCTGCGAGTCCCCAGGTTCAAGCTCTGGTTTCCTGCTGGACAGACCCTCAGATTGGCTCTTCCTCGTTCCCCTTTGCCCTCCCCAGCCTCTCTCCTGTTTCTTGGGATCAAGTCCCCAGATAAACTACCAGCTTGTGCTATAGAGCTGCTTGCTGTGAGGGCCCAGGCTAGGATACCATCCTTGGCCACCTGTGTGGAGTTCTGGCACCCCTGTCCTGAGTATCCAGAGAAGACGATGGTCCCTGGGGAGCTTCTCTCTCTTAGTCTTCTTGAGGCCAAATCTCTATCTTCTACATCCTTACGCTGTATTTCCTCCCCCACTCAAGTGAGGGTAGCATTCCTCAACCTCACTATTCTTTTCCAAAATTACCCCCAAGTCAGACAGAAAAGCACAGTAAAGATTTTACAAGTAGAAGCATCCGTTCTGTAAATTAACTATACCCTTCACACTGGGATGATCTTACATCTGTTTTAGATCTCTGAACTCTGGTTTGGTGATTCAAGAAACAAGAGAACCTCTGAGTCCAACGCCTCCTGCTTCCAAGCAGTAAGGTGGGAGCGCACACAGTCTGCTCCTTTGGAGACCAAGGCTCCGTGCACAGAAGGTGCTGGCCGGGCCAGCCATGCAGAACCCTGGCTCCAGGTCACTATTATTGCATCACATTGGTCAGAGTTCACTCAAACAGATGCCAGTGTCTTTCTAACAAGCCTGGGAAAGTTGTCTGGTGGCTGCACATTCCCTCCATCTGCCCTTTCTCTGGGTGGCACTCTCTTCTCAGTGTTGTATTTTCAAAACAAACCATCTCCACTGGTTGCGGTAAATTTCAGTAAAGAAAATTTCAAGCTGAAAAGGGTGAGAAGACCTACAGGAAGGATATTCTATATAGCCCATCTTTAATGACCAGAGAACAAAATTGCCTTTTCCTTACTGTCTGCCTTTAAGAAATAAATAACATTTTTATTTGAAAATCAAGCCAAAATACATTGCACAGCCTGCTGAGATTTGGTAAAATATGTGTTAAATATGCAACATGGCTCTATTATTTAGACCTGACTATGATATTTTTTAGGAGAATAATTTTCATTTGGGCGTTCTGTAGACCTGAGTCAACTTAATCTGACAAAATCCTAATCTGTCATAGAAATCTAGAAGTTTAGAGCTAGAGGGGCCTAAGGAGTCACAGGGCTCAGTCTAAGGTCATGTGATGAAAAAAGATGGGAACATGCAAGGAGGAAAAAGATTCATTCCAAGTGACCACCTGGAAGAAGACCTTGTATACTCACATTCAATAAGTGCCTTGCACATCTTTTTATCTATTACAATTCAAGATTTGGAGGTTGTACTCTCCATTGTTCAGCTGAAGAAAGTTATTCAGAGAATAAAGTGACTTATTCCAAGTTATATAGTTTATTGTGACTAAAATAGGACTGGAACCTGATTTCAACTCCAGGCCAGTATTTTTCCATTTACCATGGGTTTCTGGGTAAACTTTGATTGACATTTCCATAGCAACAGTCCTATCCTGGCCACCCTGCACCCCTGCCCCCAGCCTCTTCCTCAACGCGGATCTCTGATCTCTCTGTGTCTCCCAGCCCCAGAGCTTGCTCACACTGTGAATAAAGTGGGCTGCTCCAAGCCCCTACCATCAGGGATGCCATCCTCTGAGCACAGTTTTCAAAAATTATTCCTAGATCCTTGTCAGTTGTTTCCTTTACTTTTCCCCAGAATGACTCTTTCAAAACAGACCTATCAGCAATGGCCTCTTCTCAAAAAAAAGTTAAAAAAAAATTGCACTTTGGGTTCCCTGCTTTTCCATTACTTACAAGCTAAAGTCCAAAGCCTTTGGCCTGGCATTCAAGATTCTCTGTGATCTGGCCCCTGCTGTGTCACTCACCTCCCCATCACCAGGTGAAACTGGTCCTGCCATCAGAACACTGCGTACAGTCAGACAACCTGGTAATATTGTGACTAAGGATACTGAATTCATTTTTATTTTCAACAGAACATCTGCCTGGGTCTGGATGTAGTAGGTGCTCTGTGAGTGTGTTGAGTGGCACAAACTCTTCCCTGCTCTCTGCAGCATGGTTCTGATGGCCTGTCTAGACCCCACCATCAGGGGGCCAGTCTGGGACTGCCACACTTTGCAATAGACACCAACACACAAAGGGGTGAGATTAGCTCCCTGTGTAGAAGATCCTGGAACTGGCTGACCTAAGTAATATTTCTGGGCATGCTACCGATGCAACTGAGGCTTTCTGAAATCATTACATCAGGATGCCTGGTGTGTTTCCTACCAACTTTACCTGAAACATTTCAGTATCTCATTGATTCCCCAAATTATAACTGCTCAGGACCAGACGAAGGGCAGTGATGCTGAAAATGCCACAGACGTGGCAACATCCTGTTCCAGGCTAGGTATTTGGGTCTAGGGACACCTTACAGAGGCACTTAGAGATTAATGAGGGTTGTGGAGTGGATAGAATGGACAGAAAACAAGCCCGCAGAAGAGTACTGACAAGACAGCAAGATGAGAGCACAGAGAAGGACCCCGGGTACTGGACAGAAGTGGCAGGAGAGTGAAGATTAACTGAGAGAGTTTATGGAAAGTGCCTACACATAGTAGATGAGGCACATAGTAGATGCTCAATAAAAGACAATCAGTCTTATTCTCACCATCACACATCTAAGCTGGGACACAGAGGAGTGAGGCCTCTGCCTGTGTGTGACTGCTACGCCTCCTCCCAGCCCCTCCATCTGCTCCAGCAGATTTTCTCTCAATGAGAAACAGACCAAATTCTTTCCCTCCTGGGGAGGGAAAAGCTGTTCCTTATGCTGGGAACCCTCTGTTCCCGCTCTTGGCAAAGTTGGCTCCATCTCATCCTTCTGGCCTCAGGGTAAATGCCACCTCCCCAGAAAGGCCTTTCCTGATGACCCCATCACTCCTAGAGTTATTGTCTATTATATTATGTTGCCTATTCCGTTCTGGGCAGTTACCAGAAACTGTAATGATGGGGTTTACTTCTGGGCTTTGTTTATTGTCCCACTAGACTTCAAGCTCCAGAAAGACAAGAGCCACTTCTGTGGGCCTCTGCTCTCTGTCTCAGACACCGCGATGAGCTCATCAGCATGTGGTTGGTCTACCTCTGCCTAGGGGAGCTGGGGAAGCCTCACACAGAAAGGTACATTTGATCAGGGTCTTAGAGGGGCCACATGATGTTACCCTCCAGGGGCTGCAAAGATGAGGTGGCCCCAGGCCTGATTTTCAGTCAGAAGAGAGTACTGAGACAGGAAAGTGTTGTCATGATGAGCAGCTCCATCCAGGAAAAGACAAGAGTGCTTCCAACACTGGGGTTCAAACAGAAATACCCTGGGGGTGGGAGGGACCAGTGAGTTTCAATATTGGTGCCGTTATTTAGGGGAGACTGGGCAAGTTACTGAACCTCTGAACTCCTCACCTTTAAACTGGTAACTAGGAAGTCTGAGGAAGTGGAGTCCAAGTCCGTCACCCCTCATCCTGCTATCAGGTGCTGAGGGCTCAGCCCTGCCCTCTTACTGCCTGTGTGTGACTGCTACGCCTCCTCCCAGCCCCTCCATCTGCTCCAGCAGATTTTCTCTCAATGAGAAACAGACCAAATTCTTTCCCTCCTGGGGAGGGAAAAGCTGTTCCTTATGCTGGGAACCCTCTGTTCCCCGCTCTTGGCAAAGTTGGCTCCATCTCATCCTTCTGGCCTCAGGGTAAATGCCACCTCCCCAGAAAGGCCTTTCCTGATGACCCCATCACTCCTAGAGTTATTGTCTATTATATTATGTTGCCTATTCCGTTCTGGGCAGTTACCAGAAACTGTAATGATGGGGTTTACTTCTGGGCTTTGTTTATTGTCCCACTAGACTTCAAGCTCCAGAAAGACAAGAGCCACTTCTGTGGGCCTCTGCTCTCTGTCTCAGACACCGCGATGAGCTCATCAGCATGTGGTTGGTCTACCTCTGCCTAGGGGAGCTGGGGAAGCCTCACACAGAAAGGTACATTTTTTGATCAGGGTCTTAGAGGGGCCACATGATGTTACCCTCCAGGGGCTGCAAAGATGAGGTGGCCCCAGGCCTGATTTTCAGTCAGAAGAGAGTACTGAGACAGGAAAGTGTTGTCATGATGAGCAGCTCCATCCAGGAAAAGACAAGAGTGCTTCCAACACTGGGGTTCAAACAGAAATACCCTGGGGGTGGGAGGGACCAGTGAGTTTCAATATTGGTGCCGTTATTTAGGGGAGACTGGGCAAGTTACTGAACCTCTGAACTCCTCACCTTTAAACTGGTAACTAGGAAGTCTGAGGAAGTGGGGTCCAAGTCCGTCACCCCTCATCCTGCTATCAGGTGCTGAGGGCTCAGCCCTGCCCTCTTACCTGGCTTTCCTAGCGAGCGGCCTTCTGGCCTGGAATGTGTGATCCACCCACCGTGCAGGAGACCTTATCAGCTGACCAAGTCCAGTTTTAACAGTAATAATGAAAATTAGAGGGATTACCATTTATTGAACTCCTACTAAACATCAACCTCTGAACTGAGCATTTCACACACAAATACTTTTTTAAGCCACAGTCACCCCACCAGGTTGACTTTATTTCCCCCAGTTTCAATTGGGATTCAAAGTGGGTGAGTAACATGTCCAAAGTCTCAGGAATAGGAAGCTAGGGACAGAGTTTCTGACCCAGCCGGTGCTCTGAAACACAACCTCCTCTGGCCGGTGTATCTCACAGGTGAACCAATGTATTAGTCCTCAGAAGTCAGGCAGCCTGAACCTGTCCCTCTCTGGGAAGCTGATACAGACCTAAACCCTAGACCAACAACGCAGAGGGGGAGACTCTGGACTTTGGTAACCCTGCTGTTACTTCCTCTCCTGCTCCAAGCTGCAGGCTTCTCTTCCCCAGGACAGGACCAGAAGTACTGTTGGGTGTGTGTGTGTGGGGGGGTCTTATTGCAGACATCCTGCTTAACTCTGCCCTGGAGTGGGGTGGCAAAGAGATTGGGTAGAGAGGCTAATGACTGGATGGAAATTCAGCACTTGAACTGTCACCCTGGCTGAAGCAAGTCTCTTTCCTGCTTCTCATGTCTCACCTCTGAAATGAAACTGAGAACAGTCTTGTGGCGTTGCTGAGAGAAGTATGTGAAAAAAAACCTATGTAAGGTGCCAAGCACATATGCCTGGCACACAGCAAGCCCTCGGCCATTGGTGGCCTTTAATATCATTAGGATGAGATGGTTAGATAGCATCACCAAGTCAATGAACATGAATTTGAGGAAACTCTGGGAGGTAGTGAAGGACAGGGAAGCCTGATGTGCTGCAGGCCAGGGGATCACAAAGAGTTGGACATGACTTAGTGACTGAACAACAACAACAGTTGTTAACAGTCTTGAGGGGAATCGTCCACAATAGAGTGGGTTTGAATCTTGGTGGCCATTGTTTTTGGCAGGACTTTGGGCAGGTTACTGAGCTTCTAAACTCTTCATCTTTAAACTGGATAATCTAGGAAGTCTGTGGAAGTGGAAGTCCAGTGCCTTCATCCTTAAATTCAAATCAGCTTCTGTAAGGAACTGGGAAATGCCAGAGGTGGGGAGTGATGCTTGCCACAT